AGTCCCCCACAACACCAAACCACATCACCGGGACCTGATGACACAGTCCCCCTCAACACCAAACTCCGCATCACCAGATCGTGATGACAGAGTCCCCCGCAACACCAAACTCCACATCACCAGGACCTGATGGCACAGTCCCCCGCAACACCAAACTCCACATCACCAGATCGTGATGACAGAGTCCCCCTCAACACCAAACTCCACATCGCCAGGTCCTGATGACAGAGTCCCCCTCAACACCAAACTCCACATCGCCAGGTCCTGATGACACAGTCCCCCACAACACCAAACTCCACATCGCCAGGACCTGATGACACAGTCCCCTGCAACACCAAACTCTCCGTATCACCAGGTCTGAGTGGCTTTACCGTCCTCACCTAGTTGACCAACAACATCCCACCCCGTCAGTGGCAACCTCTTTCTGTTTAAAACGATATATTTATGGGGCACAGTGTGATGCTTTGATACCTGTGTACGCTGTGGAGTGACAGAGTCAAGCAGATGAATGTATCCGCCTCACGTCTTTTGTGGTAAGAACATTTGAAATCTGTGCTTGGCAATTTCAGATACAGGTATCCCTCTGAGTCCTAGGGGAATTGGTTCCAGGTCCGCGTCATGGATACCAAATCCACGGATGCTCAAGTGCCCTGCAGTCAGCCCTTCCTCTGCAGGATGTGGAACACTGAGATACAGAGGCTGACTGCACACAGCACACGGTTTTCCTCTGAAGTCACCATGCTGCACAAAGGCCTTGAGTTCTTGTAAACAGGAACTCTATACCCTTTGACCAGAATTTCCCCCGATCCCCTTGTCCCAGCCCCTGCTAACCACTGCTCTCTCTCTCTGTAAATCAATACTTTGATTCCACATGTGAGATCATGTGATATTTGTCCTGTTCCCAGCTCATTTCACTTAATGTACTCCAGATTCACCTATGTAGCAAATGGCAGTTTCCCTTTTTATGGCCAAATAGTATTCCATTGTGTGTATACACCACATTTTCTTTATGCGCGTTATCCCTTTATCCACTGGCTTCTAGACCACGCAGGTTGATTCCATATCTTGGCTGCTGTGAAATGCTGTAAGAAACAGAAGTGTGGGTATCTCTTCCACTTATTCATGTCATTTCCTTCCGGAAAATGCTTAGTACCGAGTACCAGTTCGGCCAGGGAGACCCCACCCAGGCAGCACTGAACGCAGTGAGAGGCAGACACACAGATAGAACAGCAAAGTGGATCTATCTGGGGGGAGCAGCCTACCCAGCTGAGAGCCTCAGGGGCTGACCGCACTCCAGGCTGAAGGCCCTGAGCAGATTCTCATCCACAGTCTCTCTCAACAGGTGATTATTATTAACAAACAGGTGTTCTGTATTTTCTCACAACTCAAAAATACACCAAGTAGGCAGCTGTTAACCCGCTTACCACTGACTACAGACAAACTAAAAGGCATTCTCCACGAGGGAGCCCCGAGGGCAGGGCCAGATATCTCAAAGCATTGTTTTAACCGGTGGATGGTATTTCTACATTGTCCTGCCACTTTGGAATGCCCTAAATGGCTTTCCACTTGGGGAGGGGGTCAGCTAGGTTTTCCTTGCCATCTTTCTTCCTAGCAAGCAATATATTCTATCATACACTCAGCACTCATCAATATTCATAAACTCAGTATTTCTCAATAGCTTAGCGGTAGGATTGCTGGGTCACAATTTTTTCTAATTCTTTCAATAACTCCATATGCTTCTCCTTAATGGCTGTACTAATTTACATTCTCACCAACATTATAGCCTTTGAAATTAGCCATTCTGCTCCCCGAGCTGCCTCCTTTCCTCTCCTCTCCTTTCCCTTCTCGGAAAAAAAAAAAAAAAAAAAAAAGAAAAAAAAAGCCATTCTAAGAGGTGCGAGGTAATCCCGTGATTTGGTTTGCATTTCCCTGATGATTGGTGATGGTGAGCATTTTTTATATACCTGTTGGCCACTGGTGTGTCGTCTTTTGAGAAACGTCTGTTCAGGTCCTTTGCCCATGTTTTAGTCATTTATTTGCTTTCCTGCTATTCAGTTTGAGTTCCATGTGTATATTGGAAATTAACCCCCTATCCAATGTATGGTTTGCAAATATTCACTCCCGACTTGTGAGTTGTCTTGACTCTGTTGATGATTTCCTTTGCTGTGCAGGAGCTTTTGAGCTCTATGCAATCCTGCATGTGTATTTTCCTTTGTTGCTTGTGCTTTTAGGGTCATATGCAAGAAATGCTATGACCCTAAAGCCTCAGCCAGTGTCCTGGAGTTTCTCACCTGTGTCATCTTCTACTGGCTGGACAGCTTCAGGGCTTACAGTTAAGCCCTTTTCTATTTTGAATGGATTTTTGTGTAGGGACATTCCCTCAGTGAGGGCTGCTTCTGGCTTTGCCGATGCTGCCCCGTCTGCCTTGCCTCCTCTCCGCTCCACTGTTTTCATGTGGAAGGACTCTTGGCATCCTCTTGTGATCTCTCTGTTCTACCCAGACCCCCATGGTGACCTCACACTTGCCTCTCAGACGTGAGTCTCTCTCCCAAACCCTCTCCCAGGTCCAGCCACTGCCTCCATCTCAGACTCGCGCAAGGGTCTGTATCCCTGCAGTCCTCAGAGAGACATTTCAGAGCTGTCTCTGAGTCCTTTTCTCTCACAGTCCACAGCAGGTCTGCAGAGGAATCCTGCAGCTCTTCCTGTAGCCACAGACTTTGGCCTCACCTTACCTGCTCCCCCCGAACCTCTACTGGCACTTTCCTCTCCTGCCTAGGAGACCTAGGAGCCTCACGTCCTCCCCCTGGTCCAGCAGTGCACTCCCAACCCAGCAGGTAGACAGGTTTCTCCCTTAAAACATGTAGGAGATACAAACCACAGTGCTTCAAAAAATGTATCTGTATGTAGGAGGAACCAGTCTGGTGATCCCATGTACAGCAGGAGGACTACAGGTAAGAAAATTGCGCTGTTCTGGGAGTTACTGCTGAATGACTAGACTTCAGCTGCTCTTGCCAGGAAGTCCTAAAAATGCTGGCCTCTGGGAGGTGATGGGAATGTTCATTGCTCCCTGCAGTGACCATTTTGCTGTATGTACCTTGTAACAGAATGTCACATACCTTAGATATACACAATGAAATTTATTAAAATAATAAAAATAAGAACCAAGCCACAGCCCGCCCCTCGAGGTACTCAAGGCCCTGCAGCAACTCAGATTCCTTCAGGGAAAGCTTCCCAGTGGCCTGCGGGCACCACCTGATCCACCGGGAGCCGTTCCTCCCGCTGCTCACCACTGCGCCCCTGCTCCCAGCGGAGACAGCACGCCGGCCTCTCTGCTGTTCTTCAGTGGGCCCTGCCTCAACCTCTGATCTCCGGGGAACGTTTCTCCCCCACACCTGTGTGGCGGTTCCCGCCTCCTTCAGGTCTGTTCCCGCAGGGTGTGTTACAGAAACGGCGTGAAACAGAGGCCCCTCCTCAGCCCTTGACCATGCGAGCTCTGAGGAGCCCCTTGTGTCCCTGTGGCTCTGCCTCAGCCAGGCCTCTG